TCACTGGAAATAGATGAAGGAGGTTTGTGATGTGACTTTTACATTGTTGGTGGTGACGTTAAAGAAGAGAAGGCTGCTCCTCGGCAAGGACGCCGAGAGGGCACAAAGTGAAGCTTGCAGTCCTCACTGAGTCTAACTGATTGACACTGAACAGCACACAGCAGTTTCTCAGAGCTGCTCAGAGGGACCTACCTGGAGTCGCTGCTTCTGCTCAGCCTAAAAGAGAAAGCGGTTTCACACGGGTGGGTCTTGTGGTTGGAACAGGCACAAAGGTTTGTGCCGCCCTTGAACAACCCTCGACTTCCTGCAGGGGAAAATGTCGTCCTTATTTGCATGTTGAAGACAGCCAACGATGACATTTCTTTCCTGGACGGGGAATGTTGAGCGGCTGACATTCAGGAGGGCTTCACCCTGACTCATGACTTACAGGTCAAGTTTGTTGCACTTTAAGCTACAGGTCTACATCTAGCATGCTACAGAGGGCGTTAATCAGGTTTGGTTCACACATCTTTGAGAGGTTCACCAGCTAAACTAGAAACTTGAAGAGCACTTGGATCTTCACAATCCATCCATCCATCCTCTAAACACCACTTAATCCTCATGGGGGGCTGGAGTCTATCCCAGCTGACTCAGGTGAAGGCAGGTTCACCTGGACAGGTAACCAGTCTATCACAGGGCTACATTGCACGGGGAGAACATGGAGACTCCACGCCTCACCGGGACGTGAACCAGCGACCTTCTAGCTGCGATCCACCGTGCAGCCCACAGCTGAGAATCAATTGCTGCACCCTGAAACTTAAGACCAGTATGGACTGTGGACTCAGGGTTGATAGAATCCCTGAGAACAGCAGCACTCAGAACAGGCTGTAGTGATCACTGGTCCAAAGCAAAGTGACACCAGCCACTCAGGACAGAACCTCACCGTCACGTTTGCCGCTGATTTTTTGTTGCTGTTAAGTTTTAGTAAAAGAGATGCGATCAGGCCTCTGTAAGCAGTGACACTGACTTACAACACCAAGAACAAGTGACGGGGCCACTCGCTCGTTTTGCTGTTGAGGCCCCTCGGAGTGCTTGATGAAGACTTTCTGGAGAAGAAGGTGACGATGAAGGCCCGGTTTGTAACTGCTGAGGGTTTAGAGCGTGTGCAGGGCGACCGCCTGCACCACACTGACTGAATATGATGATTAATCCATCAAGCAATCACAAGATGCTCGTTGTTTTTTATTTAATTAGGGAGACGGGTCCAAGTTCTGCTGGACATGTGCACGAAAACCCATTTCTGAACCAATTAGGAACATTTGTAATGGGTTGTTGTGAGAATCATTGATTTAGCCTTAATTATTTGATGAACAATAATTACTGCAGATCACCGGGACCGAAGTGTATCAGAGCTGAACATCTTTTGTAAATGATGTCTGGTGGAGGTGCTGTTTCTGTGGTGGTGTGTTTCATTGATCTGTGTGTGTGTGTGTGTGTGTGTGTGTGTGTGTGTGTGTGTGTGTGTGTGTGTGCACTGCCCCAGTCACTGTGGGGTCATCTCCGTCTGACGCCAGCCCTCCCACTAATTATCTGCTCTCCCGTCTTCACCCGAGGCCAGACTCAGGAGGCCATGACATCTCGCGTTAGTCTTTGTCAGGACGAGAAAAATCCTCTCAAAGTTCTTCTTTTGTTGTTGTTGTTGTTCTTTTTTTTTTTTTTCGTCTCCCACCATCAACATACCGACTGGGACGCCAGATAAGGCTTCACCAACGGACGGCTGACTGACAGCTTCATCAGATACCGAGGCGACGTCCATAACTGGTGAACGGGTGGGTTGGACGGGTTGTTGGCTGTGAACACAACAGCTGATTTGTTCCTGGGTTTGACCTCTACGAGTTTGGGATTATTTATTTGCCACACATGTGAACAATATCCAGACCACTGAATTACTGTGGCTCTTCAACTAATATTTAATCCATAAATCCTGCCTGTTGCAGAGCTACATGTTTAATTAGAAAGCGGTGACTCTTCATTATGTTTCCTAAACTTTACTGTGTGACGGAAACAATCTTTCTAAGAGGTTGTGTATCAGAACCTCAGAGAATGTCCCGTCCTCGACTGAAACATAAAATGTGCTTCCTGCAGGTCTGCACAACAACAAACACCGGCCGCAGAATGCAACATAAAGAAGCTCAGTTTTAACCAATCTGGACTCTCCACATCACATTTAACATAGTTGAGGAGGCGCACGTCGGCCGCAGGATGCCCGTTCCACCGCAGCAAAGGCACCACAAGAGTTTGCCAAAGCAACATGATTAGACCTCTGCAGTGTTTCTGGGGTCGCCTGACTGACGGGAACCTCGGCCTATTGTCAAACATCACAGCAGGTGCAGCAGCAAACATTCCTGCTGGAGACACTTTCGTGGTGAAAACCAGTTACTAGTTGTTAAATTATCAGCATTTAAATATTGTGCCATTGAACCAAGCTTGCCCCGTATTTGAATCAACTAATAATTCTTCGTGTGTGATTCAGAGAAAGTTCTGCTGGCTGGTGTTGAATTAAATTTATATTCTGTTTTGATACTGCACTTTATTTAATTCTAATGTTTTGTTTGCCTTAAACTGTTTTCTAATAAAGCTGCACCTCGTCCTTTTCACCGTCAAATCCAACATGAAACATTGAGTCTTGTTGCCTACGTGTCAGGTGGATCGCTCACCGAACTCATTCCGAAGCTTCATGTCTTGAAATTAAAGCTTCTGATCAAACCTCCACCTGAGTTAAATCGTCCAACTTTTAGGACCTTTTGTTGCCTCAGATTTTGAAGCAGGACGAGAGAATCTTCACGTTTTCCTTGTTGGTGTCGAGCCACAACAAATCAACCCCCTGTCCACCCAATACAACCACCAACATCCACCAAGCTCCCTCACTGAGCTCATGATCAACCTTCCTGGATGCTGGAGTTGTTTCTCTGTGAACAGAACTGGAAGTCTGAAGTCTTCTCTGTACATTTTCTGTCGCTCCGTGGACACTAACTAAAACGTTACCTCACCACATGTGCCTCTACGGAAGTCATTCGTACCAAACACGGCATCTTTAGCCGGATTATCGAACATCGTTCCCCCTTCGCCGCCCACTGCATGCAGCGTGGACGTTCTCATGGCCATATGAACCTCCTCCGGGGGCCCCGGGGCAGAAGTTTGTTGCTCGGCCCCTAATGAGCCTCCCTGTGCACGGCAGCTTGATTATAACTCCAGAAAACCAGACCTGAAATTACAGCGTTCAATCAATTCCTTGTTTGAATAAACTAATAAATAAATGAAATAATTCTTTGTGCCGTTTTTAACCAAAACCCATTTCTCACACATGAATGTTTTTGCCGTGTTGCGTGACGGTGAAGTGAACACCTCTGGGCTTGTTGACTGTTGCCTGGACAGAACCAGATATGAGATGGCGTGGACTGAATGATGACCCAGTTGTCTAGATACTGAACAGTCGAGTGGATTTTAAAGGAAACAACTGTCGGAGGCATTATTGAAGGAATCTTAATACATTTTCCTGGATTTTCTGGAGTTAATTATTTGACAGTGAGACAGAACAGGCCGACCTGATAAAACATACATACACGACAAATGTAAACCAAACCATTCAGGTCTGAGAACCAGAGCTTGACGGGGATTTTGAGGAGGAACACAGTAAATATTGTACTTCAGTGAAGCACATTTCTGACCGATTTGTAGTTAATCACATCATAAATGCAGACAAAATGAATTATTGTTTTGTATCATTACTGTTCAGCATTTTTACTGATTGATCTCTTGATGCTAAATGAGAAAGAACCAAAGAATATATTAAATACCCCCCAACCCTGTAGGCTCTAAACCAGAGGGTCAAACAGGTTCCTTACAAATCTCCTGTCTAAATTCAAATTAAACGTCTGTTCTAACCTCGATGAAATCCTCACTGCTGTGTCAAAGCCTCACTATTGTGGTTCATCCACTAAACAGGAAAATAAAAAGCTAATAAAATGCAGAATGTTCCTTTAAAAGTCATTTTTTGTTTCTGTATGGCTTTTAAAGGCACAAACTTAACAGCTAATTTAAACTGCCAAATAAAATAGTTGTTAAAGGCCCAATCTGTAGCTGAAATCCTCACAGTAATGGTTGTAAACAGAGTTCAGCCTCCAGTTTCAGTTTTATCAGTTTAGGGGGAAAAAATATTAGATTATAAAACATGTTTGTCACTAAGACATCTAACAGTCGTCCTCAAATGTATTCACATCCTTCCATTAATCCACAACAGTCCCTCAAATTACTAGAAACTGAAAAAAGTAATAATAAATTTTTTTTTAAAAGTTAAATTATATTTTTGTGAAATCAGACGTTGCTTTGAATTCTGGTTGAAAAGAAAAGTTAAAAAAATAAATAAATACAAATTTAAAAAAACTGTGGTGGACCAATGAGAGGCCTTTGCTGATGAGCAGTGGACCAGAACACCTGTCAACAGGTGCAGAAGTCTGACTGAGAGTTACAGAAACACCTGATGGCAGTGATTGGCTCAGAGGGTTGTTCAGCTACATGTTAGTTCACGGCTCCCATCAGGATGGTTTGATTTAATATTTCTGTTGAACCACAATTCAAACCAACGTCATGATGTTCATTACATTTTATTTATTATTACTTTTGTCAATTTCAGTGACTGAAGCTGTTTTTTTCTTCTCTAATGGGAGGCTATGAACACATCTGAGGACGACTGAGGATATAAATAATAACTTAACATAAATATGAAAAAACATCCTTCAAAAAGCGGATATGAGAAGAAATTAAACGGTTTTTTCTTTTTCCTGTTTTGTCTTAAAATATATTCATGTGTAAATCTGACATCAGCCTTTATGTTTAAAACCTTTTTTCCTCCTTTCTTGTGTTTTCTTATTGGAAATAACGCTCTCTGTTGTGTTCTGTTCTGCTCTGTTCTGTCTGAGCGGCCCGGAGCGACAAACCAGGCCAGCGGCACCACGACCAGCTACCAGGCGCTGCTTTATTCATTCATCACACCGTTTACATCCCGCACGCAGGCGCAGCGCGCGGCCGGTTACATCATCACCACCACGGACACTGCGTCACCGCCGTGACGTCACTACATGTACAACTGGGACGGAGAGAGAGAGAGAGAGAGAGAGAGAGAGAGAGAGAGAGAGAGAGAGAGAGAGAGACATGTTCACATGGAGCTGTCCTGTATCACAGATGCTCAGTCTGTCCGCTGTCAGTCCGCCACAGGCCTGTGATCCTCCCAACGGGCAAATTGCACATAAATATATTCCATTAAATAAAGCCGAGAGCGTGTGTGTGTGTGTGTGTGTGTGTGTGTGTGTGTGTGTGTGTAGGTGTAGGTGTGTAGGTGTGTGTGTGTCGGACAGAAACAGAGGACTGGTTCCGCCGGTCCTCGGCTCGGTTCCTGGTAGAACATAACTGAGAGCGCACGGAGCCTCCTTCAGCACCAGACGGGCAGCAGGCTGCGGGTTCTACTGGTTCACTGATGAGGCCTCACAACATCTAACAAAACGTCTGTGTTCTTCTTCCTACTAGTTCTGCAGTAAATGTGTGTGGTTCTGATTCTGATCCCGGGGTGAAGCTTGGGGGGGGACCAGCGTCAGAGCGCCTTTAGCCGGATAACAGTTATAAATCCCAAGTTATGTTCTATCAGCTGCCACCGGCCTCCACGGCGACGTGAACGCGCTCCAGCGGCGTCCTCTGCTGCGGGAGGCCCGGACGTCCACAGACACGACAGCGGCCCGCGGACGAGGTTCTGCGAGGCCCGAGCTACTGCTTGAGTTCCAGAGCCCAGACATGCTGCGGCCAGCCCGTCCGCCCTTTGCTCTTCTTATCGCCCGCTGACGAGGAGGACGACGACGAGGAGGACGATGATGAAGAGGCTGTCTTCGGGATCTCCACCTGCGGGGACACGACAGTTATTCTCAGGATGCGTGTCCATGCAGTCATGTGCTCTATATGGACCAGGCTTCTGCATTTAGGAGGAAACACTAAATCACACACAGTCCACAGTGTGAGGCCGGCGCGCGCAGCGACGCACGGTCCGGACCGCCAGCCTGAAGGACCGACAGCCTGAAGGACCGACAGCCTGAAGGATCGACAGACCGACGGACCGACAGCCTGCGGTGGTCGGCAGGCAGCAGCTCACGAACGTGCCTCTCAGACAGAACGCTTCCCTCCAGCTACTGCTTCATATTTTTAACGCCATGTTGCGTAAACTTGTGGTTTTGGTGCCAGCAGCTGAGCCTGAACAGAAATATGTTCTAATAATACCAAACAGCAATATAGCAGCAGCAAAATATACTCCCGCAGTTAGAAATTTAAATTTAAATTTAGTTTTTAGAAACTACTTGTTTTTATATCTCTATATATTTTTATACAAACAGGTTTCTTCCTTTTTCATTTGGCCTAAATGCGCGTAAACTCCAAACGGACGCACAAAGTGTTCGTAGCTCGGTTTAAAGGATCACGGAAATACGGCCGAGATCCACCGAGCTGCTTCTTATTAATAATAATAATAATAATAATAATAATAATAATAATAATAAAATTAAATTCCCTTGGACTGTACAAAAATATGGCTGATTTTGTTTTTTATTTCTGGAAATTTTTAAAAAGATGAGGTACGTTTGGTTCTGTAAATATCAAAACATGTTTCCTGCCTAACCTTAAGTATTATTATTACTATTATTATTATCATTATTATTATTATTATTATTATTATTATTATTACTATTGTTAGTATTATTATTATTTTAGCAGCAGAGTCACAGGTCCAGTTGGATGTGATCAAACAGACTCATTAAAAACGGATTTGTAATGCTGCTAGTTCCTGACTGAGCCAGAACAGAACCTGGACTCTGACTGTGTTCAACCCAATCAGCGGCATATTCGCCATTTACTCTCCAACCGTATTTCCCTCCTGAGCAGCCGGTCGTGCAGCCGTGAGCCGCTCCTCGGTTCGGCTCACACACACCATCCAGCAGCACAGAGCAGCCAGTTGGGCCTGAGTTCGGCTCAACACAGCCGAACATACAAAATACCAAACCGTGTGTTCTGCAGCAACGCTTACAAGCAAATGAAGGATTTTAATTTTTACTCCTGATTCATTTCAAAGCTTCTTAAATGCAGGAGGTTTAATGTTTTATCCACTTGCTTTATCTGCAGCCTCTAAGCAGCCGCGCTACTGGCGGCTTAAATCCACTAAAAAAGTAAAACGAAATAAAAAATAAGTGATTTTAAAAGGAGCTCGTCGGTTCTTAACACCTACAGAAATTCATAAACGATCAGGCAAATTTGCGCCATTTTTGAACTGAGCGTGAGCATTTTTATTTATTTATTTATTTTTTAAAATCAAGTCTAGTGTAATAATAACCCAGACTGGCAGATAGATTATTTCTGTATTAATAAAGCCACGAGGTCCAATAAAACTCGAGTGTTTCCTGCAGGACGTGGAGCGGCTGCATCCGAATAAACAGAAATACAGAACAAACGCATCCTCACAATAAAAATAGAATTATGCACAATACTAGTGATAATAATTGTGGTGGATAATTTCACTCTCTAGCCTCCAGACTATGGTTCCAGAATATTTACAAGAGCGCAGCACTTTCTTCACGTTAATAATTATTTCTATAATCACCTAAAATATCACTGATGCTGATATTTATTTTTATTTAACCAGATATTGTTTTGCAGTCACTTTAAACAGCCTGCAGGTCTCCTGTGGAGGAGGCTGCTGCTCCCAGTGGCTCCTTCTTTAGTTTTTAGAAACGCTTCACTGGAGGATCTTTTAAGACTATTGCAGCAAAATGCTTGGCATTGAGTGTGAGCCGCTTGTCAGGAGGCTGGCAGCTTTAAAATATGAACATCACTCCAAAACAGCACCAAACACGATGCCGAAATATCAACTAAAACCCTACAACAAGAATAAATGAATGCAAATAATCCTGCAAGCACATCTATATACATGTTGTAATGACTGGGTGCTGAGCAGCTCTGTGATGCTCCACGTTTAGCTTTAGAATTAAATCGCTGCACACGTTTATAATGATGGTTTAAAGCAGAGCCTGGAACGAGTCAGACTGATCAAACCAAACGTTGATTTTGCACAAATTGGATCTCAGCAATATTTAACTGTGGTACAACAAACTAAACAAACACACAGGAACCGGCCTGATCCTCCTCCTCCTCCTCCTCAGAGCTCCTTCCTCCTAAACACACCTTCAAGTCACTTGTGGGTGAATCACTGCAGCATTAATGGTGGAGCACACATTAAGGGCTTACCTCCGCTCATCTCTCTGAGCCGGGGTTCATCCGAACAACACATTTGGAGGATTTTTAAAAACTAATTAAAGAATTTTGTTGCCAGACTTTTATTGGTGCGGCAGGCGGGGGAGTCCAGAGCTGGAGCTTCATGAAGGAGCTGACATGAGTTATGAACAGGACTAGATTCTCCTATTAGCAGCTGCAGTTTGAAATGTGAGGAAAAGAAAAAAAACTTCTTTCTGGCTTCAATTAGGGCTTCTGCGCCATGCTTCCTATAGGCAGCACGTTGGACGACGGACAGGAAGCAATTATTCTCCTCTATTCTCCTCTGACATGCTGTTGTTCGTTCCTACACATCATCTCAGTGCTGGACAAAAGTCCACGCTATAGCTGTGGGCAGGAGAAGGTGATGAATGAGGCTGCAGGAGCAGCTACAAGATGCTGGGCTCTGCCTGCATGTAGTAAACACAAAGGTCACCCGCCATGACCTTTACATGTCACCATAAAGAGGATAGGACGCTCACATGTGAATAAAATAGCAGGAATGTGGCTGCTGCGTTTGGATGTCTGGGATCAGCGGAGTGCAAAAGGCAAAGCGAAGACAGTTGGGGACCTTAAATATCTTTTCCAAACAAATAAAGGCCCAGTAAATCAGCAGCTATGGGATATGGGGGCAGCAGAGGCGGAGCCGGGACCAAAACTATGCGGATAATATCGCAGGCTGTGAGGATAAAAACCAGCAAAAGTGTTGCGAGGAATAATAGCAGGACCTGGCCCCTCCTGGCTCCAAGCTGTCTGAGAATGGCAACCAGGGTCCTGGCTCGGCTCTTATGGCGACTCCATCATTCGTACGATGTGCCACTTCTGTGTACAATCTGTATCAGTGGTACCGGCAGGAGCTGGGCTGCTTTTTTCTTTACTGACTGAAGGTTCAGGGGTCAGGTGGCCGATACGCAAACACACTCACATTTTACTGTTTACTCTCTCTTCACTGGCTGCTTTTTTTTTTTTAAATTGCTGCCCCCCAAATAAACGGGGCTATAAGATTACCGTGTATGTGAGTGTAATTCGTGCACAGGAGAGGCCTCTTTCTGTTTCCTCTGCTGGCTGCTCAGAGCTGCTAAACTAAAAACTAAAAGCTGCCACATGGAGCTGCACATTTCTACTGCGGTTGTGCGTCTGCACGGAAGGAGAGAGAACAAACATGGACGCGTAAAATTATTATAAAATATGCAGCAACCGCTCTCTCCCGTGTGTGTGTGTGTGTGTGTGTGTGTGTGCGTGTGTGTGTGTGTGTATTATTGTATAGAGGGCCAGGCAGCCTCCAGACCAGCAGCACAACACCAGTCGGTAAAACTAAAGCAGCCTAAATTCAAAGTCTTTCTCTTGTTTGGATCAGAACCTGCTCATGAGGCCCGAAATTCAACCAGCGAATTGTTAGAATTATTCATACAGAAAGCAGCTCTATGTACAGTTTTTTAATTTTATTTTTAAGAATTTCTTGTCGGAAGACACTTTGCAAAAATAAACACATCTGTGTAATATTAAATCGCACGTTTTAAAGATTATAAACTAGGTTGTCTCGGATGGTACAAACTCCGGAGCAGCGTCCGGGCCGCTGGAGCTCCAGTCCGGCTCTGCTCGGCGTGTTTACGGCTCTCGGGCGGACAGGAGGCTGGTTAACAGAGTGTCTGCTGGAGGAGCAGAGCTGATGAGACAGGCTGTTTGCTTGGCCGACTGACCTCCACTCATTAATCTTCGTGAGATAAACCATTAAAGAACGAGGAATATCTGGATCTCCGAACAGCATCTGAGCTCTTCTCCAGAAGGTCACGTCCGGGAAAAACAACAGAACCAAAAGAGAACCTACATTTATCTGAATTTATATTTACAGAAGTGTTTGTCCTGTTAAACCTGAGCTCCAACAACGCCACAAACACCCTCAATAATAAGAACAATAAAAACAACAGGGTTTTGTTGTTGTTGTTTTTCCCCACATAGAAAACCAAGTGAGCGGATCCTCGGCAGCTCCAGCTCCGGCTCCACACTGGGCCGGACCTGGAGCTGCTTTCTGTTTAACTGGGAGGTGAAGCTACACGGAGCTAGCCCGGGCAGGACCCCGGTCTGCTCCCCACACTGCGCTCCAGGCCGCCGGCCGCTCTTACCGCCTCTCTCTTCCTGCGCTCCTCCCGAGCCTCCGTCTTTTTCAGCTCGGCCTTGAAGGCCTGCGTGTCTCCGTGCTGGCCGTCCTTGTCCAGGATGTCCATCAGGTAGGAGATGTAGCTGGTGGCCAGCCGCAGCGTCTTGATCTTGGACAGCTTGGTGTCGGCCGGGACGTTGGGGATGCACTCCCGCAGCTCCGCGAAGGCCGAGTTGATGCTCTGGGTCCGCCGCCGCTCCTTGCGGTTGGCCGTGGGTCTCCGCTTCACGGGCCGCGGGTGCGTGTGGTGGTGGTGGTGGTGCATACCGACCGTGTTTCCGTTGACTGAGATGGTGCCGGGACCCGGAACCAGGCCGCCGGGGCCGTAGTGGTGGTGGTGGTGGTGGTGGGGGTCCAGGCCGCCGCTGGAGCCGCCGCCGCTGTTGCTGTGGTACTCTGGGCTGTAGCCGGGCGCGAGGCTGTACTCAGTGGGAGACATGTCCGCGTGGCTGATTAGCCAGCTCGTGAAGTACGGAGGCGCGCCGGTGTCCTCGTGACACCGACCGGCCGCCGCAGCGTGTAAGGAGTAGTGGTGGCTGTCGTGGTGGTGCATGACCGGGTGGTGAGGGAAGCCCGAGACCAGGCTCATAGTGGCACACACCTGGGCACGCGCACATACACACTCTCTAACACGCACACGCACGCGCGCACGCACGCACGCGCAGGTCCTTTCGGGATGCTGCAGCGGTGAAGCGTCTCGGCCGTTCAGCTGCTGCTCACAGCAGATGTTTGCATCCTGAACGCTGCATCCAGCGGCTTCCGCGCGTCAGGGCCGCCGTGGGGCGGCGGGGGGCTGGAGGGCCGCTCACGCCTCCTCCCGGGACATGGTCCTGCTCCGTCTCCTTCTGGGAATAGATGTGCGCAGAGCTGCTTCCTCCGTGTGCTCTCACTCAGTGCGCCGTCCTCCTGTGGCCGCCGCTCCTCATGCCGTCCTCAGTCAGCTGTGAGCAGCACCAGTCCGGCCAGACACCGGGTCGCTACTGGCTGCTCCCGCTCAGCTATTGGAAGCCCTGCTGGCCGCCGTTACTACGTCATCGGCACTACCGGGGCGGAGCCCGTGACCTCACGCCGTGCGCCAGCCAATAGCGGCGCGCCGCAGCTCTGTTTACTTGTCAGCGGGCCGCTGAGCGGACCCGCTGGCGCACACGCGCGCGCGGGCTGGCCTCGTTGACGCGCACAGCAACCATGATCAGAGAAGGATGAGCAAGAGGATCCGGTCCTGGTCCACTAGCAGCCGGCACACGAGGCCCAGACCGTGTCCCCAGTCTGCAGGGCAGGCCCGCCGGAGGACCCGGTCCGACCCGGAGGCGCTGATCTGGACTCGAACTGGGTTTGAACGAAAACTAGCTGCTGTTGTGCTCCATTTGAAAAAGCTGCACTTATTAATATAGACACGAGATTAAGGAGGTGAGACTGCTGGTGCTCCTGGTCTGAGGAGGCTTCCTGTTCATAACCAACATCTACTGAGACTAGAAGCTGCGTTCAGGCTGCACGTCGGTCCTCATCCTGCACGGCCAGCGGACTGAAGCGAGCTTTATTCCTCTAATTTAACATTTATTCAGCGGACGTTTGGACGGATGCACTGTTCTGATAGGTCTCATTTGTGGCCTGTTTTTTTTCTTCTTAATTTTATCTGCAACACATCAGCTTCCTGCGTTTCATTTCTAAATAATTAAATATGGGAGTTTTTACTCACTGACACACACACACACACACACACACACACACACACACACACACACACTCATATAAGGCGGCAATTATTGGATCCAAAGGTTAATCACATTTGGTCCTGTACTTTAAAAATCTCACTGACGATAATTAAACAAAAATGCCACATTAGCTACAGGTTAAAGGAACGCATTTATTTTTTGTTGTTAAATTAACAGCAACCAGTTTTACCTGCATGCAAAATCAACATAATCATATTATAATTGTACATTTGTAATTAAATTGTTAGAAAATACCTTCTGTAAAAAAATAATAATAATTGCAGCAAATATAATATTAGAATATTTTAGAAATCTCAGTATTCATATATATTCTAAACTGCGTTAGAGCTGTATTACGCGTTTCCACTGATCTTTACAATCCTTTTTAAAATAGTTTATTGCTGCTTTCTCAACACCCAGTTTCCAATCTAATAACCAGTGAGACCAAATTAAAGCAAATGAACGGAGACGAAAGAGCAGCACGGCCCAAAATAACAAGAACACCAGCAGTGGACCCATTTATATGTCAGTATAATAATAATAATAATAATAATAATAATAATAATAATAATAATAATAATAGATATTTGTTATTTGCTTTACCTGTGAGCAAATGTGTAAACAATCTTGATGTGAATGGATCGTGTAATATCGCTGCTGTCTTGCCTCGACGTGACATTTAGGTCCTCTATAAAACGCTCAGTATCAGGAAAGCTAAACGGGCAGCATGTCAGAGCCCGGAGCAGCCCGGAGCGGCCCGGAGCGGCCCGGAGTAGAGCCGGCTCCGTGACCCGCAGCGCGCACCGGAGCCGCGCACGGGTCCGACCTGTGTCTGCATCCAAGGCCACAGTTGTTCTCTCCTCTGTGAGGAACCAGCGACCACGTGCAGCCTATAAAATAACTCAAATTATGCAACAACTCTAAATATATATACGAGCATAAAAGCTGCTGTTTGCAGCTGGATTGGGAGAGAGAGGCACCGATCAAATGACCTCCTCCATGACTCAACCCAGGACCGGCTGTCTTCTGTCCTCATGTATAAAATCAATAAATATACTAAATAAATATGTTTAATTTAAACCTGGTCCCGCTGCTATGCATCCTATAGATGTCTCCTCGCCAACAAACTGAGTCACTACAATACTTTTTCGCATATTTATTTATTTATTTTTTATTTTTTAAAAGTATTTTCAATTTAAAATAAACACGTGGAGGGAAGCTGTACCACTGTGTGCCCTACCAAATCAACTGATTGACTAAATCTAATAAAAAATTTGTCATTTGGAAAATGTCCTTCTCAGGCCTTGGGGGTCAACTGAAGAGCATTCAAGGATCTCTGAAGACTTCCCAGGACCCCTGACAGCTCACCTGATGCAGACACTTCCAGGATCCATGGCACCGGAAAACCCAACAAGCACCAGTGAAATGGAAACCAGTGGAGTGACTCTGAGCCTCGATGTCTGCACACAAAACAATTCAGCCCCATTATTTATCTGGAGCTGAAGAAGAGGGAACACGTGTGGTTGTTGGGTTTGGTTCTGTTGCTGATGTGCACTGCTGTAAATGTGAGACTGAAGCAAAGGCCTTAAACACAACTACCAAACTTCAGAAAATGTCCCCAGCCTGGACGGAAGCAGCAGGACGTTGTAATGGGAGATTATAGAACAAGGAACACGCATGCATCCACCACCGCAGAGCAACAGCCAGAACAACAGAATCCTGTGCTTGGAATTGTGCACAGCGGTGATGTGACGCTGGAGTGCAGGAGGTCACTGGTCCTGGCTGTGGACACGCCGAACATCAGCAGTGGCCAGATGGCAGCTAAGCTCAATTAGCAGTTCTGATGAAACAATGGGGGGCTGGAGAAGCCAGCAGCGACGCCGTGGACCACCAGGACCTGTCGCAACACAGTGTCTCTGTTGCTGACAGAACCTGCTGCTCTTACGACTGAGCCAGTGGAAGTGAAATGCATGTTTTGGGTCGAGCACAGCGGTTCAACCGACGACTAACACGGTTGCTTTGTAGCACTTCCACGTTAGCTCCTCCTGATGAGTGTAAATCCAACACTCACCGTCCTCTGAGTTCTGCTGTGGTCTTTGTAAACGGTTCCCCACAACTGTTTTGCTGAAAACTGCTTCCCACTGGGGCTGAAAATCCAGTCGATGTTCTGGTTCCGGTGCTCCACAGAGCTGCTGTGGGCTGCAGAGTAGAGAGGTGACAGATCATCCTATTACTACTGTATGTAATTAGCGCAGCTTTAAATACAGACATCTTGAATAAATTCACCTAAAACACTGATATTGATACTTGAGGCTTTGATCCACATTTATTTCAGTCTGGTGTGTTTATCACTGGCTGTTGTCTCCACATCTGTCGTATTGATTCAGGAAAACAAGGAACAACAGCAAGTAAACAGTGCTGAAGGAAACATGCTATTTGTCAGCATTTGTATTTGCAGCAACGCCCAAAAAGTTGGAATAATTTTTATTTTCAGACACATTCCTCCTTTTATTTCTATTCATACACATCCCGCTGACCAGGTGCACTGATTACAGGTGACACCAGTTCTGACTGGTGGGACGTCCTGCCCACTGACACCATCAACCAGGACAGGACGCCACCATGTCTCAGAGGTGGCCAGACTCAATATTAGTGGCATTTAAAATGGAGTAATATTGGACTTTCTGATGCATTAAACCCCCTCGAATACGTGTTTCGTGTTAAATTGATCGAGGTTAAAAAACTGAATCAAAATCTTTAATCTTCTTGTTGAATACCTCCAGTTTAGTTAAAGCCTGAATACACAGTTTGCTAAAGTTAATTATGGTTTATTTTGTTTTATTGTGATATGTGTTGTATGTATATTGTGAGATCAATAAAGTTTTGAAAAGATATACACTGATTGCATCGTCACAATCATTTCATGAGAAGAGGTAAAAAATTATTTTATTCCAACTTTTAGGGCAACAGTACATATAAATACACACACACACACACACACATATTTATATATATATATATATATATGGGTTTTGATGTATGAAGTCTATGAGATTATAAGTTTATATATTTACTGCTATTAGTGGAAACAATAAGAAGTGTAAATTAATTAACTATAGGCCTAAAAAAAAGCTCTAAGTGATAGTTAAAGGCTGTGACTAGTTCAAGCCTAAACACTTTTACAGCATGTTTGGAGGCTCCAGTTGGTTATAAATGGTTCCTAAAAGGTTCTGAGTCCTGGTAGGATTTCTCCTGAGCAGTAGTAGTATTAGTGTGGGAGACGGACCTGAGGAGGTAGAATGTGTGGAGGAATTCTGTGAGGAAGGCATATGATTTATATTTGTTTAAGTGTTGAACGGGGGGGGGCTGCATTCTGTGTGTGTGTGTGTGTGTGTGTGTGTGTGTGTGTGTGTGTGTGTGTGTGCACGCTCTGGCCTGCTCTGTGTAATCCATCTATGCGAATGGGAGCTGTTGCAGTAATTTAGATCGGTTTGTGTCTCCTGATAATGATACATAATTAGACTGTAGGTCAGTCGGTCAGACTCCTGATCTCTCTCTCTCTCTCTCTCTGTCTCTGTGTCTC